CTGTGAAATATATAAAGGCTGAAATGCAAGTAAAATAACCTGTGTGCACCACAGCCACATTTAAATACATATTTGTTATGACATTTCACTGGCTGAACTGAAGCCATTCATAGGTCTTCTGTACTTAGCAAGGACTTCTCATGGTAATCACAGGAATGTGAAAGATTTCTGGAAAAGTGACAGGTCAAAATGGTATAAAAATTTATGCCCCATCAGGCCGGTGATATAGCTCAGCAGCTCAGCACTTGCCTGGCATGTGCAGTATCCTGAATTTGATTCCCATTATCCCACCACAAAAAAATATGCCCATGTAGATATGAAGATTTATTATGCTTTCAACTTAGGCATTACCCTGGAACCCAGCCATCAGGTCCTTGTCTGTATAGTAATAGACCAAATGATGCTGTGAACAGACTTGTTGCTTCCATTCCCTGAATCACTCAGAATGTGACATTTGACAATCGATTTACAAGCTTCCAATTGATAATATATTCAATAACAGAGCATAAGCTGACCATCGTAGGAACTATACACTGGAACAAAACAAAAATTCCAAATGAAATGTTACAATTTTACAATAGAGAATTGTATATTGCAAACTTTGAATTTCAGAAAGATAAAACTTTAGCCTCCTATAAGGCAAAGAAAAACAAACTGTTACTGCTGATGTCAACATTGCACACTGATGGAAATATTCATAGGGAAACACTGACAAAGTGGAAGCCTGAGATTAAAACTTTCTACAACAAAATCAGTGGTACAGTAGATACTGCTGATGAGTTAGGCAGAAAGTAGGATGTCACTGGAAACACAAAGCACTGGCCAGTGTGTGTTTTAGTTGATCCTAAACATGTGTGGCATAAATAGTTTGATAGTTTACTAAGAAAATATCAAGTAAGCTATAATGGAAAAATTTTCTCAGAAGATTAGGACTGGAACTCATAAGAGATCATTTACAGCAGAGGAAAACAAAATATTTTTGCCCCAGGGAATTATACAAAAAACTTGTGGAGCACACTAGTGTCCTGACAGTTGAACAGGGAGGAACAACATCAAAAACACCTACTACGACAACAGAAAAACAAAAAAGATGTCAACTGTGCCCTAAAATAAAGTGCCTGAAAACAAAATGTATGTGCTTCTGAGTGTAAGCAACACTTTCTTAGAAAATGCAGTGGTCAAGTGTGAAGACTGCTTTGGGTGTGATAGTTGAAGTAAAGACTATTTTTGTGGTAGGCTTTGTGTTTTCATTGTAGTTCACAGAAGTTTTTATTTTTTATGTTATCTCAGGTTTTGTAAGCAAGTAAATAGTTGATGGGAAAATGGTGATGTTCTAAGCATACAATATAATTTGATATTTTACTTTTTTGACATTTTATTTCCCTGTTAAGTGCATGTTGTAGAATACAGTAGGAAACTCCTGACAAAACAGGAAAGAGGAGAGTTGACATGACTGCTACAGAGCAAAGGAAGCTAAGCACACATGATGTCTGCGTAAGCAACATATGTGCACGGAGCCTGCAGCTGTCATATCTAAAGACTGCCTTGGGCGTGGCAACTGAACCCAAGCTTACTTTTGTTTTACACTTCTATTGGTATTTTCATTGTAGTTCATTTAGTAATTCATTTCTGATGTTACGTTTTAGGTTTTATAAGCAAATACACAGTTGATATAAAAATGTTGGTATCTAATCTAAATGCACATTACACAATAAGAATTTAATACTTTATTTCATATTGATATTTATGTTCCTGTTAACAACACCCTGTAAAATATAATAAGAACCACCTGACTAAAGAGATACACCAGTGAGACATTCAGTATGTCCTGCAAAAAAGCCAGGAGAGCAGAACACACGTGCTGTCAATGTAAGCAATAAATGTGTATGAAAAGTGGTGTTGTCATGTGTACAGGGTAGCTTAGGCATACTAATTTAAGTCAAAAGTGCTGTTGGTAGTTCATATAAGAATTTATCTGTATTGTTCTGTCTTAGACTTTGTACACCAAAGAACAGTCAATGTTAAAAATTTTGATGCTTTTTAATAAACACTGAGTAATTATTAAAAATTCAATAGTATTTTCCTACTAAATACTCTATCTTTAATATACCAAGACTAATAAAATTAAAATGAACAATTCATCAGTAAAAATATATTAAAAAATAAACATGGATCTAGCAGACGCACTTTTCTATGCTTTTATGGCAAAATTAGAGTTAGATTCTGGGTTCAGACTCCGTTTTTACTAATTGTCTGATAATATTGCTTTCCCTTCTCTTTTTATTCAGTTTTTTCTCATCACTTTTCATAGGGATACAGGTCTGTTGGCAGAGAAAGAAGACAATAAAGGCTTCCTTAGGCTTCCTTAGAGAAATTAGCATGAAATCTTATGCAAAGTGGCTTTATCCTTTGCAGTTAGATTCAGATTCACAGCCTAATCCTAACATAAGACATTGAAACTTTAGCAGAGCAGTTTCACTGGGGGGATTAAAAGGACAAAAGCAGAGCAGGAGAGAGTTACCAGACCTGCATAGGACTATTAGCATAAGAATTTATAACTAAGCATGAAATGCTCTCTCCTGAACAGGTTAATCAGACAAGGAGTTGGCAAGCAAAGCATGAGGAAGCCGAAAACATGAAAACCAGAATAACCGAGTCCCCCACCTCCAACAGATGCACAGCAGACACGGGGCAGCTGCCTAAATTAAAAGAAAATAATTGGGGCTGGGGATTTAGCTCAGCGGCAAAAGCGCCTGCCTGGCAAGCGCAAGGTCGTGAGTTCAGTTCCCGGTACCAGAGGAAAAAAAAAAAAGAAAATAATTGTTCACTTTATAGAATATAAACACATTATAGATAGATACATATATGCATAAATACATACATATTATGTGGGTTATTTGGATGTCCAATATCATCCTTATATCATCTTCCTTGTATCAATAGAACCATGCTTTTGCTTAAAAAGTATTCCCTGAAGAAAATTTTTATCATTCCACCTATGATCGTGTCAGTCATAAAATAAATATGTGTCTGGAAATTTCGTGTCTGATCACTTTGTCACAAATAAAAACAAACTCCCTCAAGAGACACAACCAAAAACAGTCCCACCAGATCACCAATGAGTTTAAGCATTCTTCTCTACAGATTTAAATAATTATATGTCAAATTGAAAATTAAATAGATAAAGTTTAGCTATAATTTAGGGTATGATGAGAGAATGTGGAAAATCTTTTGCTCATTTACTCTCAGAACGTTTGTCCTTGGAATCATGCCAAGTATTCATTTCTCGGTGCTGGGCCCAGAGGAGGACCAAAGGCTGCACTACCCCTGAGTGCTTGTTATATAGGGCACCCTGGCATTACCAGGCTGGAAGCAATGGACTCACTGCTCTGGGTAAATTCACAGTTACTTACTGGGATTCCTTTCAGACCAGACTTCCTGGTAAGTGTCCATGTGATTAACACCGGAAGAATTCTTCTAGGGCTCTGTAATTAAGTTCAGGATTAAAGAAGAAAAATGCACAAAAATATAAGTGACTTACATCAAGAAAAGCAAATATCACAGAAAGTTTCACTTCCTTACATTATTATTTTCTTTCAGCAAAAAATTATTTTCTTCCAGCAAAAAGAAATTATCTCTCTAAAGAGATAATACTGGAAACAACTTTAAACCGACATTGGCTCATAGTAATTATCGTTCCTTAAATCAGAGTGTTTTTGAAAAGATAAAATAAAGTAGAGATTTTACTAGGAGATTATACATATTCACACATTTAAAACTTATTAAACTAATATTAACATATTCAAAGCAGGAAAATGGACATGGTAGAATTGTAACCAGCACTGCAAAATGTAACTTCAAAGCTTCGCTGTTGTTTTTTATTTTCTTTTAGCGAACAGTGGCTTCCAGACACCAAGGGTGTACACAGCCTATCACAGGAATGTGGAGCAGCATTTTATGTTTTAAAATATCTTCATGTTTAGAATGTTATTTTTTTATGTATTAGGCAATTCTGCATTATACGTGGTGTACATTATTGGTGTGCCTCACCTAAGTTTTCTAAAGAGTGAAACAGCTCTGTAATTAATGTTAGATAGCATTTGGGAACTAAAAATAAACTTATTTTCATGAGAACAAGAAATAAAGTGATTTTCATGGTAGGATCTCACATATCCTTTCTCAGTTTTGTTAAACAACAGTTATAATTAGAATATATGATTCTTAGCATGTTGTCAGGAGGCAAAATATCTTGATAGATTTCCAGTAATAAAGAGTAATTTCTCTGATTTTGTAAATGTTATTTTCTGTGCTCTTTTCTTATCTAAAACTCTGTGGATAATACTGACTATGGCATACACCTTACATGTGGGTTAAATGTGTTAATAAAGGAAGCACTTAGGCTGGTATCACATTGCAGCTAATTCCATAGGATGTAATCTTTTATTATATCATAGGCAAATGTCAGTTTATACCCGTATCCTTCTCTATTTGAGAATTGAATACTTTTGCTCATATTGAGCAAAGTTTTTTTAATTCCTAGAAATGTAAAATGAAATATAATAAGTACTGGGCGTTTATAGAAACAAAATCTGTTTTCAGTCGGTCAACCTAAGTATCAATTTTGATTTCTCAGTAGTTTATTTATATTTTTTTTCCGGTATCAGGAATCCAACTCACGACCTTGCGCTTGCCAGGCAGGAGCTGTGCCGCTGAGCTAAATCCCCAGCCCTGATTTCTCAGTAGTTTAAGACAATACACCATGAGTGGATGGAACACCACCAGTATGCCTGACTTCATCCTCCTGGGGCTGGCGGACTCTGCAGAGG